GTTCGAATTACTAATTTTGATTCAAATTTAATTATATTAATGAAATTAATTAAATGATCATCAAATTTGCAGGCGCGAACACCTTATCCTCAACTGGAGCGACCTTGCTGCTGGCAAATCCAAGAATTCCAAAATTTATTTATTTTTGGTATAATTCCAAAAGTAATTAATTTTGTGCCAAGGTGAAATTCACGACAATATAATTATCGTATTTGGTTATGCGTAAAGTATGAAGATTAAAAAAGATAGAAGATATTAATTACCATTCTTTTTTTTATTTTAATGAAGTGGCTATGACACACTTATTCCAGTGCAAAGCCAAGGAAAAACAGCAACAATTAATCTCAACTAAAACATTACATGTGCTAGATAGATTAAAAATGATATATTGAGAAGAGGCAAGTATCATTTTTCGATTTAACAATCTCTATTAACTATGATATGCTAACACTTAATGTAAGATTTAGGAAAATATATATTCGTTCAAATGCAAAGTTGTCATAATTAAGAATGGGTGGTGGTATGCTAGATGCAACACATGTCCATAAAAACTCGAAGAAGACTCAGATGAGTACTTTTATGTGAACCGTGCAACAACATTAAGAACAAATATAGCTAAATAATGCAACCATTATTAATGGAAAATTGGATTTTATATAGTTTGTTGATAAATATACATGCCAAATGGATGAATGTTTACTTCACTACTACATAGTTTTGTATTATTTTCTTCATTGAATTCATACATATATTACCAATGCATGGTACTAACATGATGAAAGGTTACGTACATATTATATATTGTTAATATAAAGAGATTCCATGAGATTGGTGGAAGGATACGATAGTCTTCTACTCACATTTTGGTTTGTATAGGGACATAAAATGATGTGATTGTTTGATTGGCGTGGCTTCCCTATATAATTCCATTTTGAAACATTATATTCTGTGATGGTCTGCATGTTTATATCTTGATGGTGGAATGATCATTTGCATCTTTTGGATACTGATAAGAAAATGCATATTTTTTCAACTATCTTACCCTACGAAACTATTTTCCAATTATTAATTAATTTTGAGTTTTGAATTTACCAACTATAAATAACATATTTCAAAAATATTTATTGTTTTTATGACATTACCATCTTATACAGATTCAGTATCCATCTTCGAGTTGTGCACAAAACAACAGAGGTGGACTTTGTTGCTATGGATGGAGCGGGAGCTCGATTTTTTGGATGTCAGCTGAAAGGCTATTCCAAGACAATGATAGAGTTAGAGGACCACCACCTTCTCATTTCCTACTAATTATGGAAATGACCTTGAAGTTCGACATCAATCTCACCGATTACAAAATCACGAATCCAACAAGTGAGTACACAATTTTTCAGGATAGGGGAAGAAGGAAGAGATTGTTGAAAAGAAGGAGAAGAAATAAGAGACAATTGATGATGCAGATAAATGTGTCACTAATAGAGATGAAGACATTATGATTAGTGGAGATGATGATGTTGCTCATGGCGGAGAAATTGCATACAACTCAAAAAGAAAAATGTAGTAATCTTAGATGATGAGCACATAGAAGAGTCATTTTAAATTGTCTTTAGAAGTCGGTTCCCTTTCATGATTTTTTCTTTCATTTTCGTAAAAGAATTTTATTCGTTTAATAATTAAATTTATATAAAACAGTATGATATTGATCCTTTTAAATTGTTGAAGAATTTTAATAATTGGGATTTTCTTATTCTACAAATGAATTCGAATATTTAGAGTATTTAATTAATTAAGATTTTATTATATTAATGTGTAGTTCGGATACAATTGTTATTGAAATTTACGTTATTCTCAATTGAATCCGGCCAACTGACCGGGTCCATGACTAGTTCATTAATAGAGAGTTTGACCACCTGCTCCCCACATGTTTCCCCTCCCTGAAAAAAATCTTTACTTAGTAATTAAACCAGCCGCCACCTGTCCCCACCGGCGTCACCGACAAAAACACCGACCTTTGGGGCTATCGGCTTCGCCACTACTCACACTATGTTTTGTCGGTCTCCATATAGAAGTATGGATCTTCCTTTACGTAATTCTCATTTGCAACAAGGATCAGGAGACCTTGAGAGTTGGGAGTGTTTCACTTTCAGGGATGTATATGAGATCGGTTTTGAGTATGTTAATGTTTAACAAACTCGTAAGTAACGTTCTTTTGGAAACATATTAGAGAGTGACGAGTACTCCAAATTAGCTATAGCGGTTGCGATTTGATTCAATGAGCTCGTGTGATCGACTCTGGGTATCGGAGGAGGACAGGAAGTGTGCCTAAGGATCCTATAGTCAGAGTCTGTGGAGACCTAGGTAAATTAACTGGTAAGTGGTAGCCAACGGTTAACAGTTATATCGTTCGGGGCATTGGATTCTCACCAATGTTTGCGTTACTCAAGCCGACATTCTCGCTTCCGCTAGCTAGTGTAACCCCGGATTAACAGACCATGCCCCAGTTCGATTCGAAACCCGTCTCTTTTTTTACAGATTTATCCCGATTGTCCTCATCCCTCTTCTAAACCCGAGAGGCAGTGGTTTACCCTGTGGCGGATGTCAGCGGTTCGAGTCCTCTTATCTCCAACTCGTGAACTTAGCCGGTACAAAGCTATACCTTTCCTCTCCTTCTTGTTCTAATTAATTAGAATGCGAGTATATTGCATAACCTCTCCCTTCTCCCCGAGTCTTTTCTTTGTTTGGTTTGAGGATGAATTTGGGTTAACCGATTATAACTTGGATATTTGGGTGGGGGGGGGGGGGGAATATAAATATTTACATTAGTTTAGTCTTTGCCCATGTAGAATTTGATAACGCGGAATTGAAACGAACACAGAACACAAGGAATTTTACGTGGTATCCTCGATCGATTGATTGATCGAGACTAATCCACGGTGAGCTCGGAATGAGCTCACGACTGATATTTTATTAGGGACTACATTGTGACGGCTTGCTTACGACAGGTTCGTAGCTAAGTCTTATATAGAGATAGACTAGGGTTAAATCCCCAACAACAACCAAGTTTCCTTCTTTTACATGAACAAGGAAACAAGGGACTTGAAGGACAAGGAATTAATTACTTGTTGACTAAGTAATTAATATCCTCAACAGCCCAATTTCCTCCTAATGTGAGCTCTAAAATTGAAAGAGGCAAAAGTCACCGTCAATTTGTGATTGAAATGTAGGCATCAAGATTGGATTAAGAAGATATGATGGTTCTGCTGGATGAAAGATCGCAAAGACCACCCTCCAATTTCTTCTGTCAATGGCTTCCCTCACCCAGTTTGCATTTAGTCACTCTTCTCCATCCTCTCTTTGGTTTCTTCTCACGAGGGGTTCTCGCTACACGTTTGAGTTGTCAGTTTTGGGCCTGGTCTGTAACCGTTTCCTTTACCATATTGGATTAGGTTTAGACCCACATGGAAAAGTATAAGTACTTCTCATCTCCTCTGTAATCTCCTCGATATAGTGAAACTGGATCTCTCCTGCCCATGGACTAGCTAACACACATTGTGTTAGTGAACCACGTAAATCGTGTGTCTGTTTTCGATTCTCGCTTTCGTATTCTTACTTTCTCGATTCCGACGTGCGATTTCTCGATTCGTAGCAGCGCGGTTATAACAACAAGTAGTAGTGATGTATATTGTTTGTTCCTATCAATTGATACAAGAAAAAGTAGGTGGCGAGCACGGTAGATGAAGTCGTAATGCAAAGGGGGAAAAAAGGAAAAGAAGGAACGAGTAAACGAGTGGATCGATTCCGAGAGGCATCAATTCATATACACACTTGCTTACTTGGCCTACGTACGCCTTTCGGCCGATGGTTATCGGAAAGGGACGACGCGGAATCGGATAGACATAATATTTATTGCTTTTGCTTTACATTCACTTGTGTTTGTTGGCTGGTCAACTAAACTAACAGCTAACTCAACTGTGTGTACAACCAGCCAAAGAGAGAATCTCTCGTCATTCACATGCATCCTCTCTTCCAAAACATTTATTATTCCACCATTTTATAGTAATGGCTCAAGTACATAAATGACATGAATTTTTAGGCCACTTACGAATCAGTCACTCTTCCTTTCTCGACATTACGATTGTTGAAGTTTAAAATAACTGACATTCTTTACACTATTTGTATGCACAATAATCCAATTGGTTAATTGACACATATGATTAGTTAGCCTTTTCGGTTTGTGTTAATTTATTGCATCATCGGGCTAGGGGGGAGCCGCCTGACTCTCAGGTGCGTCGTACCGTGCTCATGATCCTCATGGCTTACCACATTTTAAACAGACGAGTTGACACACACGCAGATGCGAACAATTTGCATACCAAACTTGATATCATAGTTCCGGAGACCGATAAGTCGGAAAAAATCCCAAAATACAATCAGTGCCCAATCACCGCCCTCCACTCCTGCGGTGATGCAATCACCGTCTTTCTTTACATGCATAGATTGAGAATTTTTTTTCATAACGTGTGTATTTTGAGAATATTTTTTAAAAAAAAACATGTGTAATTTGGGATTTTTTCCTGATAAGTCCGATCCATTAGCTATCTATCTATTCCAACTTTCATCAATGACAAGTTTGTTAAACATTAAAATAAGGAACCAACTTGCTAACAACTCCAAAGTACAAAGCCCATTTCGTAATTTAGCATATTCTTAAACATTTTATTACTTTGCTTCTAAGACCTAGCCTCCCCCAATTACGTGTCCCACCTCATTCACTGCCACGTACCCAACACCGGCCTTCCTCCGAAACCGCGCGCTAACCCTCTTCATCTCACGCCGGCTATATATATATATATATATATCCACTCCGCCCATCTTCTTCTCAGTTCCGATTCATTATTTCCGACAAAATTCCGCTCTATTACTACAGAGATAAAAAAGAAATCTTTAATATCTCCGTTTTCATAATCAAACGCAGACAAAAGTCCAGTAGTTAATCCGTATTAATGGGAAACTGCTGCAGGAAATCCCTGTCGTCGACGGCCGTGTGGGCCGACGACGACGACAGCGACGATTGGGAAGCCCTCGGCAACCACCACAGGATAGTCCTCTTCGACGCCGACCGCGGCGAACACGGCGTTGTTGGGGCGGGAGAGGAAATCAACGATGATGCTTCTTCGGATAAGAACCGGCTGCTGCCGGCGAGATCTTCTTCGTCGTCGTCGTCGGGGAGGGAGGTGAAGATCAAGGTGTCGAGGAGGGAGCTGGAGGAGCTGATGTCGAGAGTGGAGATGCAAGGCTTGTCGTCCGAACAAGTTCTCGCCAGGTTGATCATTAGTTCCGCCGGCGCCGCCGCCGCGGGTTTGTTTAGCGATCCGGCCGACGAGGATCATCACCGGCACTGGAAGCCCGTGCTGCAGAGCATCCCGGAGGTGTAACTGAAAGAGAATCTGATCTCTCTAGTTGTGTCTCTCCGGTCTGTGTAAATTGATTCCGGTTTTGTTCTTTGTACAGATTGTGACGATGGAAAAAATATTACCATTCTTTGTTCTTCGACTCTTGAGAACTATTAACATTTAACTCGCTTGAAAAAAGAAATTTGAGTTAGAATAAATTTTAGATAAATTCATTGTTAATTCAATGTCGAGTTTAGGATATGATAATATTGAATTTAATTAGTGTTGGAGTTTGATCAGGTTGTGATGTTTAGCGTAAGGTGGATTCGGTGAAGGAATTGGTGTTTGTATTTTGTCTTTTGGGTTTCCCAATCTGAGCCAACTGAAAAAGGCTTGTTGGAGTCATGTGGTTGCTTTTCCTCTTCTTGTCCGGGGGGAAAGGAAAGTTCTTCCTCTCTACGGGATCGTATATTGAATTGAGTCAAAGTTGGTGTATAGTTTAATTTTAATGGTTGAATAATATTCAGTCTCCCATTCTCCTTTTTTTGGATTTAATTTGATTTTAAAAATCATCAACTCACTAAGTGATAATAATATCAGGTTAAATAAGTTCATTTCCCATTCGAATTCAATAATTTTTCTTCCTAGTTTTGTTCTAGTTTCGTAGCTGTTATACCATACAGTAGGTCGAGATATAGGCCGAGGTGAATTCAGTATTCGAAATAATGAATAGTGTGATTATCCCTCTATTCAAAGCTAAGAAAGGAGAATAATTTATCTAAATTTCTGCTATACAATATTTTCTTTGCAAGCCATATATCGTAAGTTTAACAAAAAAAATATTACAAAAATGACCATGATGGGTTAAAGATCCACCGCAAAGGTGGGAAAGCCTTAACCGAGTGTGCTGGTAGCAAGAAGGCTCGAAAGTTGTTCCCGTCTCTGTCAGGGGAGATGCCAACCATCTCTCCTTTCTACCTACACAAACACGATGGGGAGTAGCACAAGTATAAAGATTTCATTCTTGTTTAAGAACGCCCTTAAAATATAGATAATGCATTTAAATCGAGTGACGAATTATGATGAGTGAGGAAAAATTAGTTCGAAATTGTCATCTCAACAAAATATCATATCTACCCTGGACAAGACTTCGTAAGTGGAACAAGGATTGTGAAATCGTATCGAATGTCATACTAGAAAGTCAATGATATGATATTTTATGATCTGATCGTGATTCGACCTTTTCATACGGCTAAAACTTACTAGCAATTTGTGATTATTGTCGGTCGGACCGCATGGTAACCGGTTTCTAAATCATTGAAGTGGTATTGGTCAGATCTAGGACCACATGGCCCGCCTATCACATAATTGCCGGTCCGTTGAGTTAATAGGCCGGGCCTATGGCTCGTTAATAAAATCGCCGCAGCGGCCCACATAGTTCTGGCCCAAATTGTCTATAACGGGCCTTCTGGAAAGAATGAAGGCTTCCCCTTCCTTAAATGCCCAACCAACAAGCAACAGCCAGCTAGACGAATTAAAAATCCCCGAACCCAACCCAACAGCAAATTGCCAGGTCAGCACTGTCACGTGCCACACGCGCATGACCCGCCCAACTACCAGCGGCATTAAATGATTATTTTAATAACAACATGAAGATCCATTTCCTACGTTAATTTGTCACAAAACGCAAAATAATACATTAAATTAAAGATTCTTGACGTGTTATTCACAAAAGTGTTTGTGCTCGTTGCAATGTTTCATGCACACATTAATTTCAATTCTCCATCAAAATATGCAAGTACCTAAAAGAATAGACATTTGCTAAATATTTCCCAATTTTTTTTTGTCATAGAAAATATTTCCTAATTTACTACAACCAAAATTATCATCAAAGTTCGTAATCTAATAGAAGATCTCAGAGTTTTGAGTTATTATGATTGTGATGAATAATTAGTATCTTGACGTTCCATGCTTTTGCTATAAGCAATTGGAAAGTAAGTATTAAATTATGTTGATGGTTCAACTACGCTTGTGACTAGGACGAGTGTCATAGCCGCTTTTAGTTCGATTTAGTGTTTGACTTTCTTGTCTCGTGAGTTTCAAGCTAGCTCGATTCGCTACAATGTTTCTTGATCATATCTTTGCATGAACAATTGTATTTTTGTTTAAAGTTAGAATGTTTCTTGATCATATCTCTGCATGAACAATTGTATTTTTTTTTAATGTTCATTGTGTAAGTTCTTATTAAGGGAGCTTGTTACTTTTTGAAGACTCCTTCTGTCAAGATAGACTGTGACGATTGTAAAAGCAAGTAATTTTAATTCACTGATGTGATAAATAAGGATGTTAATTTGAACCCACCACGTCAGATATTTCTTGATCTGATCCGTACTGGGGTGGGTATTACTTAACCCGTTGTAGCGTGGGTTGCGATATGAGTTTACTACTTCTGACTTGTCCATTCCCATTCTTGACGCGTCATATCTCAATATTTTTCAATATCTATTTGTATTTCTTATATTTCAATCATAGTAAGCACCCTAATGAAACTTTAATTGGTGCAAGACTAGATCTTTCAATTATTTAGACTCAATTATTTATTTTATTATTATTATTTTTCATTCATGAAGTGTTTGTTTTTGTTTTATCATAAATTTTTTTGCGTTATTTTCTTCAAATAATAAGTAAGCATGACTCGACCTGCCCATCCCCATACTCGCGCAGGTATTACTCGACCTGACTCGCAAGCTGAGTAGTTCGTATATTAAGCGATTTACCTAATTAACACATTTACGTGGACTATGCTTTCGTTTCCATGCATCTTTAGCTGAAAATTAAGTGAAATAGGAAGTAGTAATGGCGGTTGGCGTTCTATTAAATGCAATGGAGCAGTCTAGTGGTTATGAATTCATTTTCCCCAACATTTATCATTTTCACGTAGAAGAAGAAGAAGAAGAAGAAGAAGACGAGAGAGTGGAAAATGTGAAGTGGCTTTGGGTTCTGATGAAATGATGCGGAAGAGAATAAAATAAAAAGAAAAAGGAAATTGCTGTTGTGGCAGTCCCCCTACTCTCACACTCAGCATTTAGACTCTCGCACTTTGACAAACAGAAAAGCTCTCAACTTTCACCCATCCCCTTAATCCTTCCCCACCAAAAATTCATGGCTTTCACTGGTTTCCAGCTTCCCCTGCTCCCAGAATCATCACTTTATCCAGCTGTCCAGTGAGCACCCTCTTCAATTAAGGTCCCCTGTTCTTCTGCGGTTGGTTCTCTTGAATTTTTCCTCGAGAAGAGCTGTTTCTTCAGTTCGGGGAGCTATGGATGAGGGAGTTCCTCTCAGCAGGCTTACTTCCACCGTTGTCCTTCTTCTTCTTCTTCTGCTTCTTCTGAGTGAGTTCCCAGCTTCAATTTGTTGAGTTTTGATGTGGGTTCTTGCTAATTTAGCCTGATCTATGAGTTCCCGAGGATTGCCATTGCAGCTGTGGTTATCTGGGTATGCTTTTCTTTGTGTGCTGCAAATTTAGAAGCTTTCTTCTCTGTTCTTAAAATTGGTGTCTTGCATTGTCTAATTTGCTTTCCTTGCACTAATAATTCTTTGTAGCGGTTGTTAATTTAGCTGCTTAGTGTTGAGATTTTGCTTTGGGAAAGAAGGGTTTAACTCAGGTTTGGGGTTTTGACTTCTGTAGTGAATTCAACCTATCAAAAGTATGATAATTTCGGACCTATTTAGGCGATGCGTAGCCAAAAGTAGAAGTTAAAGTCACGACTTTGATTACTGATGGTCAGTTGTTGACCAATAGAGCAGTAGTTGGAAGTTAAATACTTGGACTCATCACTCTAGAGAGAAGTACTAACTAACTCCAGTTCATTCTTTGTGGAAGAAGTTTCTGATATACCTAGGCTGAATTTGTAATAAGTTGATGTGTTTATTGATAGTTTGTGATCATGGCTAGTGTAGGTTTCGAAGGATGCAATTCCCTGGAACCTTTGCTACCGGATTTATCTCCTAATGCAGCTCCTCAGCCATTTCTTCCTATCTTAGCGCCTTCCCCTTTGACTCCTTTCACAAACAGCACAATTCCACGACTATCAGGTGTGGTTTCCGTCTTAATCAGTAAACCATCATTCCAAATTTGAACTGAGACCACTCTTTCTGACTAGTTGCTTTCGGGATCTTGCTTACTTGCTAGGAGAGTGCGCATTGAACTTTACTGCCGCTGAGAGCATGATGAGCGTAACATCAATCGATTGTTGGGGATTCTTCGCTCCACTTCTGGCCAATGTCATGTGTTGTCCTCAGTTGGAAGCAACACTCACTATTCTCATAGGCCAAGCGAGCAAAGCCAGCAATATGCTCGCTCTAAGTGGCAGTGCATCGAAGTACTGTCTTTCGGATATCGAACAGATCTTGATTGGTCAGGGTGCTGCTGAAAATCTGAGGAGGATATGCTCCATTCATCCATCAAATCTCACCAAACGGTCTTGTCCTGTTAGCGACGTGGAAGAGTTTGAGAAATCTGTGGAATCTGAAAAGCTTCTTGCTGCTTGCCGAAATATTGATCCTGTGAAGGAATGTTGTGAGCAAGTTTGCCACAATGCCATTTCCGAAGCTGCTGAAAAGATCGCAGCAAAGACTTCTCAAGTTTTGACTCTCAATGGTCCTGGTACTTTACCTATGAACTCATCAACTGTAGTTCATGACTGCAAGAACATCGTCTTAAGATGGCTTGCGAGTAAACTGGATCCTTCACGAGCAAAAGAGGTGCTCAGGGGGCTGACCAATTGCAAAGTGAACAAAGGTAATGTGGGAGATATGGTCTTGGCTTGTTTTACTACGGGTCAAAAAATGGTGACTAAATTTTGGAGTCACTAAGTAGTCACTTGCTTGTGAATCAAGTTTTCTAAAGAGTCGAAGTCTGCTTTCTTTGCTGCAGTTTGCCCTCTGGTTTTCCCTGACATGAAACATGTCGCCAAGGAATGTAGCAACACGGTAAGAAACCAGACAGAATGTTGTCAAGCCATGGAGAGCTACGTGTCTCACTTGCAGAAGCAGAGCCTCATTACAAATCTGCAAGCTTTAGATTGCTCTACAATGCTTGCTATGAAGCTGCTGAAATCAAATATCACTAGTGATATTTATAGCCTCTGTCACATAACTCTCAAAGATTTCTCACTCCAAGGTTTGATTACTCAGTTCATGATCACTATAGAAGTTTACTAACAGAAGGTTTCTTTTCTGTCAGAGACTTCGCACATTGCTAACAGATGGTTTCTTTCCTTTCATTTTCACCATGTGATGGTTTTGTGGACCGACCCTTCTTCTTGGATCAGTTGCAAGAGAAGGTAACTTTTTGACTCTCTATTTGTACATTTCAGTACGATGACAGTATCACGAATTGCATTTACCTAGTTATTTTAACTTTTGGGTGCAGAATCTGGATGCCTTCTGCCAAGTTTGCCTTCTGATGCAACATTTGACCAGTCTTCTGGGATAAGCTTCATCTGTGATCTGAATGACAATATTGCAGCGCCATGGCCCACTTCGTCTCAGTTATCAGCATCGTCATGTAATAAAAGTACGGTTGACTAGTCATGTCTTTTCCCAAAATTCGGCTTTCCACCATCTAAATCTTCCATTTTGTTCACATCATACAGTACTTTATATGGTATTAATCCAACTTTGGATGTCTGCAGCTATCAAAATCCCAGCACTTCCAGCTGCCGCTTCTGCTCAAAGTGGTAAGAAAATTGTCAACCAAAATCCAAACTCACTACTTATGCAAACTTCTTGAAATGCTTGAAAGGCTTAGATCTCTGATGAGATAACGTGTACTTGAAATCTTATTGAATACACACTAACCTATGAGATTTGTAACAAATGGTCACTAGAGCAGATTGCTAACTACATACAAAGTGGTTTGTGTATACTTGTCATTCTGTGTCTCACTCTCTTCTACTATATTGTTAGTTTGCTTGAAGAGACATGCCAAATAGACACGTCATGTCACCAAATCCATCTAATTACCACTCCACGCACCCACTCGACTCAACCCAGTTTCCAGTTCGAGGATGGATTGAATATCAGGTTCATGTGTTTTCTCATTTGTGAGGAATCACGTCTTCGAGCTGGGGCCCAAATCTGAAAGGATTGAGTTGAGTGGGTTCTTGTGGTGCTTCTTGAACGATTAGAATGATATAACGAACTTATTTGCACGTTAACTCAATCTAATTAATGACTGATTGACTGGAGCGAAACGTAGTGTGTCCGGTCACAAATCACTTAGTTGAGTTAGCGTTCTGTCTCGATCTTTAGTTCAGTAACTATTTTGTTATGAGTCACCATAGTTCAGTGATTATATAAGCGTTTAGCCAGAAGAAATTTATCTCCTATTGCATGTCTCGTTTCACAGGCCTTTACCACAGAGGAGTGTTCTTTCTGGTGTTGTTGCTAACTTCAACAGTCACCGCTGTGCTCTCATAATCTCCGATCATCCAGCCATGCTGCTTTCGTTTTTTCGTACATCGAACAAGACGGTTCCATGTTCCCTTTGCAAAATATACAGTCATTATACAAAGATGTAGACTTTGAAGAAGAGGTGTTCGACATTGAAGTAGTAGCTGCAACAAGCGAACTACTTCCAAGTGCAAATATGGCTTCCTTTCCCTTGTTTCATCGCAGCATTGAGCCTTCAAAACTCAAGCTAAGTTGCTTCTGCTCCCTCGTCGCCCTCCATTGATTCATCAATTCTTGCATGCTGGTGTCATAAATTTGTTGTAAAGGAATGTTTTTTTATATATATAGATAGCTATTATATACTGTAGGCCAAGCTTCATACTTAGGGATGTACTGAATGTTGAATGTATTGAGCTTAGTTTGGACTTCAGCAATGAGATGTCTAAATGTTGGTGATGGTTCTGCAATGTCCAGTCATCTCCTATTGCTGTTTCTTTAGCTTAAACATGGTTCCTTTTTTTTTTTTTTTTTGTCATAGTAAAAATGGTTTATTTAAGAGCAAACCGATACAATGGAAAATGAATTCATTTGTCCAACAAGATGAGATATTCCTCCACCTCAAGTGAAGTTGGTTTTCCACATCTCCACACCATTGATATATAAGTAGATAGAGAAGGAAAGCAAGGGAGATAGTGGCGAAATAGATTCATCAAATTCGATTGTTTTACCTTAAATTGGATCGAATTTTACATTAATTGACTAATTTGTACTTACTCATTAATAGTTAATGATGTTGATTATCCAAATTGACACGTAGCCCACATATCGTGGCAAAGTAGTCCAAATAGTGTAAAGTTTATGACTGGACGACAAGAGGGTGTTTGTCTAACTAATCTCCACCTGAATTCTAGTTAGTTGAACATTTAACTAAGTAACAATAATAAAAACCACAATTATGCATCTAAATTCTACTTACATATTATTAGGAGACATAGGATCATTCTGTAAATAACGAATAGCTTAGGATTAGTTTTGCATAGATTAAATATAAATAGGATCTATATGTAATTTAGATAGTTTGTTAGGATCATAACGGTTTTTTTCTCTTTCTGCGACTCTGTAAATCAGAGTATAAATTCAGCTTCTTTGAATGGATTTTGTACGTTTTCTTCCTTTAGTTCAGTAATACAGAAGTTTATCAGAAATCTAGCACATATGAAGCTATTAGGGTAAACGTTTGATTAAATGTGTTAGATGATTGAATCTTCAACAACCTCTCCAACAAATTCTCCATACATATTTTTATCTTTTGATTTTGTTTTCGTTTGAAATGATGTGTACCTTTAACTTATTAAAACATTAACATTCTTGAATCTCTCTCAAAAACTCGAAGTAATAACATTAGTCGAGACATTGATCACTGGATTTGTGTTACCCATTTCCCGAAGGGGTGCACTGACTTCGTATGATCAAATTTTATCCATTTGTTGTCTTTTTTTTTTTTCTTTTCTTCTTCTTTGTGTGATTGAATTCAAATATATATATTTTATTGAGATATTGAAAAGCTATGCTCCCTTCACTGCTAACTTTTTTTTCTAGCCATTCCTTTTCAGGAAAGAAAAGAAATAACAAAAAAAGAAAAAGAAAGAAAGGTTGATGATTTTGTTTCCCGTGAAAACGATTGCTCTCGAGAAGTCCCCTTTCTTCATTGTGGGTGGATCTGAGACACTCAGCCCAACCCATTATCCCCAAAAGCAAAAATAATAGAATGGGCCCACCGGCCCATCCGTGTTAAAGTGTCTCAACCCCAAATAGCTAACTTGGACCGACATGAGGAACGGATTGGGAATAGAGTGTTAGGTTGGGCTGGATGGGCTCTTCCAGCCACATGGTGGCATCCACCTCCTCCTTCCACTTAGAAAATTTTGTGCGATTAAATGTGACTTAATTTATAAAAATATGACTCCTATAAATAGCTGGACCCCTGACACTCTAAATACACACGATTCATACAGAAAAACAAAAGATAGTGAGTTTTGAGCGCTCCAGTTATGCACAAGTTGAGAGTGAGCAAGAGTGACTGTTTTATTCTATTTATTCTAGAAGCGACATATAGAAGTATGTTGTGTGTAAACAAGACAGTGTAAAAGAATCGTATATTCCGTGATTCGGCCAGATTCCGTAACTCTAGTTTATTTTATTCGATTTTTAACAAAACCCACCCAAACCCGCTCATTGACATCACTCATTGGTATGCAAATCTTAACTTCCTAAAACACTTGGTCACCTAACCCCATTCCGATGACACGTTCTAATTTAGGTGATTAGGTGAGATCTTGACGTCTGCAGTACCTATGAATTGAATTTGATCGTGAAGTACAGTTAGTGAAGAAAAAGTCTATCCCTCTTGTCAGTTATTGTCATTGTCAGTCGAATTAATTTCCAAAACTACACCATTAATAATATTCGAAAAGGAAAGGTGTACAGAAAAAACATATCAATAACTGAAAAAGGAAAGGCTTACAAGAAGAACAAAATCCAATAAGGATTTCCCTAGTTTGATTGAGAAGGAGTTTATGCACATTGTTCTCTCTTTTAGACAAAATAAATAAATCTTGTTTTATTTGGTAACTCGATCGAGTTGCTTGAATCTATAATATTGCCGGTCCAATATTATATGGTTCTAGCATATCCCATCTAGCTAAATGAGCCGACTTGCGAAGAATGATTTGGTCTAGTGATAATACGACATATTTTGTACCTGGAGATCGTTTTCAGGTTCGAATTCCTTCAACAACATCTAACTAAAATACAAACTTATATCACCCTTATAAAAAAAATATTGAGATGACTTACCATTGGTGACATCATCGATCTGTGGGCGATCAACTCATCGATAGCTTTAGGAATAAGAGGTCCACTCATCAATTATATAGATCGCTATCGTACTGAATATCTATGGTCTCATCTACCAAAGTTATAGATTGATTATAATGATGCATAGAACTGTTAAGTTTTTCATCCCGTTAAATTTGAGCATAAACTGTATGTTAATTAATGCTCCATCACGATTGGCCACGTTTACTGAAACACACGAACGATATGATGAGATCAACCAGCTGATATAGAACCCTAATATGGTGTATGATGCAGTACTCGACCTGATTCTCTATATGATTGCATGTTGTTGGCCAATTCCTACATTATCTCTTCACGAATATGTATATATATTTATGGAATTAAATTCTATGAGAATAAAAACTTTGACAACAGACAAACCACAAATTGGCAATATATCTCATAGTTCATACTAGAAGTGAGCATCTATGTACAGAAGTCCAGATGCTTCATTCCTTGTTAGGTTTATCCTCAGCCATTCCTTTACAGGCAAGAAAAGAAGAAGGCACAAAAAACTGATGAAGCTTGTTTCCCAAGAAAACGATTGCTCTCGAGCAGTCCCCTTCGTTTTTGTGGGTGGATCTGAGAAACTCGGCCCAACTCATTTTATCTCCAAATGTAAGAATATAAACGAATTGCCCACGTGCCCATCAGTTTTTAAAATGTCTCAACCACCAAATCTCAACTACCAACTCATTAGATTGACCCACATGGAATATGCATATGGTGGCATCCTCTTGACTTGGATTAATTCAAAGCCAAATTTGATGGAAGCAAAATAATTAGATGAAATTGTACTGAATTCTGTAAATAATTTTGGTTTTAGTTAAATTTCAACCAGCTGTGCCATTATTTAAAACCAAAGAACAGATAGGTTAAGCCCAATCGAATGGATAATTTCATTTGGTTATGATCATCTATCGTTTGATTGATTCTACAGAGGGGAGCTTGTTAGTCGGACCACACAGTGAATATAAAAAAATCGCATCAATGTTCTTCTAATTTACCTTTTGTAAAAAATCCAATTAACTAGAAATCTGGGATTAATCGAAATAAAAAATTCAAATAAGTTTCGTCCATGAAAATGAAATAATGGTCCAAAACATAGGACCTTTTTTATTATTATTATTATTATTATTATTATCCCAATATGACTTTCATGATTTCATTATGGATCTAAAATGAATTATATGCACTTGTCACTTCAACATAACTGAACTATGATGACCATTGACGACCACCAGTGTTATAATTACTTGTTAGTGGTCGCAAATGATGACAATGCTCTTTCGTCTCACCTATAATGGTGACAAAAGAAAAGCTACCCATTTATATTATGAGTCATTTGCTCAAATGTAGACACTTATGAATATAAATATTTGTCAATGTATTGTTTGTTTAAAAGTTTTAAAAATATCATTAGTAGGACGAATTTATTTCGGTGACTTGACAAGTTCAAGGTGAACTAACTAATTAAAAAGACAATCACACTGAAAAAGATAGATTGATGAGTAATTTTGTTTTAAGGGCAATATTTCGCTGCTGGCTGGGTTGCAGCCCAGCGCGGCTTACCATTGATGTGGAGCCATGCGATTGGTTTAAGTAGGGTTAATTAATTATTAAAATATAATTGGACGGGACGGAAATTATTTGACGATTTTAGTGGACGGGACGGAGAAGTAGCGGACAGAGGGTGCCGTCCTTACGTGTTATTTTATTATATTTTTATATCTATTTTTATTAATTTAACGATAACATTTGTTATCTCTTAGTAGCTTAGTAGTATTATTATTATTATATTTGAAGCAAGGATTAAAAAATGATACCGTATTGGCGGTTCGACTAGAAAAATTTCTTATCGCAGGGTCAACCAGTAGGCGATATTTAGAGGTATGAAGCGGTTAAACCACGATTTTAGCATAAATTACTCTACCAATAACTTTTCCGGTTCTCCGGTCGGTATTTCAATCCTTGATTGAAGAGATTATTTTCTTAGCATTTAGGGGATCAATCTTTTAGGAGTGTTTTTTTTTTTGTGCAATTCATTTGGGATGGTTGCTCTTTGTGTTACTCTATTAGAATGATTTCATTTGACAGTACATTCTCGAATTCTTTTAGATTTAGTTTTTATACATGGATTTAATTTGTTGACTACTGTGTCTATTTTGGCAGTTTGATTTATACTACTTTATGTTATTAATATTATGTAGAGCATAGTTAGTAAATACTCCGTTTAATATATGTATCCGTACATATTTTATTCGTTTAAACTTGTGTATCCCTATTATTGTTAAGTCGTTTCGTTTTTTTCCGTTCATTTGTTGACTCCCGTACTAAATACATTTAAAATCCACATAACACGTTTAATATATATATTTAATAAATTAAATTATTAACTTTCCGATTATTTTATATATATATATTTATTTTTAAAATAATTAATTTTATATAATTATGAATATTAATGTACTATTAAATGTAACATTGGTTTAGGGATGAAGAAAAATACCCGTACGTGTTTTATATTTAACTTTTCCGTATCGTATTTTACTAACTATGACATAGAGTAACACAACATAAAGGAGAAATATCTTTTTAATAACTTCCCCTTTAATTAATAAAAATTAATTAAAAATATTAATAAA